TCAAAACAACTCTGAGATACCATCTTACTCCTGTCAGAATGGCTAAAATAATAAAAAAAAAATCAATGACAGTTTATGCTGGAGAGGATGTGGAGAAAGGGGAACACTCCTCCACTGCTGGTGGGAGTGCCAATTCGTACAGACACTTTGGAAATCAGTATGGTGACTCCTCAGGGTAATGGGAATCAGTGTACCACAAGATCCAGCAATTCCTCTCTTAGGCATATACCCAACACATTCATACAACGAGGACATCTGTTCCACTATGTTCATTGCAGCATTATTTGTAATAGCCAGAACCTGGAAGCAACCTAGATGCCCTTCAACTGAAGAATGGATAGAGGAAATGTGGTACATTTACACAATGGAGTACTTACTACTCAGTGGAAAAAAAAAATAGAAGCTTCAAATTCGCAGGCAAATGGATAGAAGTAGAAGAAACCATCCTGAGTGAGGTAATCCAGTCACAAAAAGACAAACATGGTATGTACTCACTCATATATGGATTTTAGATATAGAGCAAAGGATTACCAGCCTACAATCCACACCGCCAGAGAAGTTAGGAAACAAAGAGGACCCTAAGAGAGACATACATGGTCCCCCAGAGAAGGGGAAAGGGACAAGATCTCCTGAGCAAATTGGGATCATGGGGGAAGGGCAGAAGGAGCTAGGAGAATGAGAAGAGGAGAAGAAGAGGGGTGAGGAGGACATGAGGGAGCAGGAAGGTTGAGTAGGGGAAGAATAGAGGAGAGCAAGATAAAAGATACCATAATAGAGGGAGCCATTATAGGTATAATGAGAAATTAGGCACTAGGGAAATGTCCAGAGATCTACAAGGATGACACCAACTAACAATCTAAGCAACAGTAGGGAGACTACCTTAAATGACCTCCCCTGATAATGAGATTGATGACTACCTTATGCCATCCTAGAGCCTTCATCCAGCAGCTGATGGAAGTAGAAGCAGATACCCACAGCTAAACCCTGAACTGACATGGAATCCAGTTGCCGAGAGGGAGGAGTGATGAGCAAAGGGGTCAAGACCAGGCTGGTGAAGCCCATAGAAACAGCTGACCTGAACAAGCGAGAGCTCATGGTCTCCAGACTGATAGCTGGGAAGCCAGCACAGGACTGATCCAGACCCCATGAACATGGGTGTCAGTGAGGAGGCCTTGGAAATGTATGGGGCCTCTATAGTAGATCAGTGCTTATCCCTAGCATGGGAATGGACTTTGGGAGCGAATTCCACATAGATTTGGGATACTTCCTCAGCCTAGACACATGGGGGAGGGCCTAGGCCCTATCCCAAAGGATATGACAGACTCTGAAGATCCTCCTATGGAAGGCCTCACCCTCCCTGGGGAGCAGAAAAGGTATGGCATAGGTATGGTGTTAGTGGGGGGCAGGGAAGGAGGGGAGGGAGAGGGAATTGGGATTGAATGTAAAACAATCTTGTTTGTAATTTAAATAAAGTGTGTGTCGGGGGGGGGTGGAGGGATGTAGATTTGAAGAAAAAGTCAACCAAGTGAGTATGGACTGAACCCTGATATGTAAAAGTCATCAGGATGGTACCAGAGTGTCTGAAGCTTCAATATCAGTGGCCACTCTACCTTTCAGAGCTAGGTGACCTTGTCTGCTGGTTAGAGATTAGTAGCCTGGGGACACCTCCATCCCCCTTCCCTGCTAAAGACCTGTGGCTCACCAGTTCTGCCTAATGAAGTGTTCTGCTCCCCACCTTGGCATAGCTATTTTGAGATTTACTCGCACAGCACAGTCAATCCCTTTTCACTGTTGAGTAGTATTTCCCTGTACAGCTATACCAGTGTTTGCTTTGCCTTTTACTAATTGAGCTGGGCTGACTAGTTTTCCTGTTGTTGTCAACTTGACAGAAGCTGGGGTCACTTAGAATGAGGTCACATCAGGGGAGAGGATTTCTCCTTCAGATTTACCTATCGTCAAGTCTAAACGTATTTTCTTACTGATTGATGTGGGAGGGCCCAAATGACTGTGGGTGGTGGGGGCTACTCTTGGGAAAGTGGTTCTGGGTTGTATAAAGAAGCAGGCCGACCAAGTGATCAGAGAAAAAGCCAGTAGGCAGCACCCCTCTATGGTCTCTGCTTCAGTTCTGTCTCCAGACTCCTGCTTGAGTGCCTGGCCAGATGGGCTGTGACGTAGAAGTATGATCCAAATAAACCCTTTCCTCCTCAAGTCGCTTTTGGTCATGGTGTTTATTGTAGCATCAGAGAAGCAAGCTAACGCAGGATCTCATTAGCAGAGGATAGTCTTGAACTCCTGATTCTCCTTCCTCCACCTCCCATGCGCTAGCTTTACAGGCATGCACCACCAAACCCAGCTTATCTTATTGTGGGTACATAGTGTTTCTTCTTCCCTGACTGTGAAGATTTTTCTTTTTCATGGTTTTTGGTTATGTTATGCCTCCATTAATTTTCTTTTGTGTTTCTGGTTTTCCTGTTTATTGGGCTTCCTAGATCTCTGGGATTATAATTTCCTCAATTTGGAGAAAGTTTGGCCATGATTTGTTCACACCAGCCTCCCACCTGCTTGCCTTTATCGACCTAGGTCATCTGCATATGTTGCAAGTTGCTCTTGCCTCATAGCTCAGTCACTGGGTTTTTTTCCTCTCCAATAGTTTCTGTTGCTGTGTCTGCAAGTCTGCTCTTCTTTTCCTTCTCCAGTGTCTAACCTGTCACCCAGGTAGACTCCAACCTAGAATATTTTTCTCTCTCACACATTACATATCGCCAAGTTCTGAGTCTTTTGAAAAAGTTTTTTTCCCCTCCGTGGAATTATATTCCAGGAAATGCAACTACAATAACTGTTTTGGTGTCCTTTTCTGTTAATCCAACATCCACATTAATTTGGGGTCGGTTTTAGCTGAATGTTCTCAACATGAGCCTTCATTTCCGGAATCTCATTGGTCAAGTAGATCTAAGTAGTGTTCGATCTGAGGTTTATTATTCTCCACTGCTGAGGAAAATGCACCTTTCTGAGTACTTTGCCAAATACCTAATTTTCTTGTTTAATTTCTGAGAACAGACAGTGTTAACCTGAATGGGTTTGAGGCACTTTTATTTAACTTACAGCAGGGTCTTTCTGACACGCTGACTGACATTGTTGTAATTTAAAAGCAGTGCTGAAGAGAAAGGGAATGGAAAAGGGAGGGGAGAGGGGAGACAACAGAAGAGAAAAGAGAGGTGGGGGGCAGAAACATGTAGAGAAACTGAGATAGATAAAGGAACAGAGAGACAGAAAGCGACAAAGAGAAAAAAAAAAGAAAAAGAGAAATATGGAAGGTGGGCAGAGCTCTTTTAAAAGGGAATGTGGTGACTGTGTACAGGAGGTGCTCTTATAGTGGCTGCAGCTGAGGGCATATCCTGTCAGAACCCCAAGGGCAGACCAGTACAGATGCCTGAATACTAACAAACATCTCTCCCCATGTCTGAGGAGACTCCTCTGTTAATCTCAGGCCCTCTCCCTGTGCAACATTCTCCTTCTCAGTAAACTGTCCTGGAAACTCTAGCCATGCTGAAGTCTCCTGAGCTCTCAGTTCTCTTCCAACTCAGAGTCCACTAGTAACTTCTTGATTCTTTCCCCTTGCCCTGTGCCCTGGAAACACTCAAAGTAATAAACTGAGGCAACTGGGGTCTTGGTTGGTTTTCTTTCCTTTTTTTTTTTTTTTGAGACAGGGTTTCTTTGTGTAGCCTTGGCTGTCCTGGAGCTCACTTTGTAGACTGGGCTGGCCTTGAACTCACAGAGATCTGCCTGCTTCTGCCTCCAGAGTGCAGAGACTGTGGGAGTGGCCAACCAATGACTGGTCCAGCCTGAGACCCATGCCAACAGAGTGAGAACATCTCTGACTGCCTAGAATGCCAGGACCCAGAGGCTGGATGGCCCAGAGACCTAGGATAGAACCAAACATGATTAGAGAAAAAAAAATGCCAATGTAATGATGCCTAACGATGTTCTGCTATACTCGTAGATTAGTGCCTAATCCAGTTGTCATCAGAGAGGTATCATCCAGCAACTGGTGGAAACAGGTGCAGACCCACAGCCAAACATTAGGCCAGTCCTGCTGAAGAGAGGGACTAAGGATTGTAGGAGCCAGAGAACATCACAAGAAAACCCACAGACCTAATCTGGGCTCACAGGGACTCACAGAAACTGAACCGACAAACAGAGAGCCTGCATGGGACTGACCTAGGCCCTTTGCATATACCTGACAGTTGTGCAGCTTGGTCTTCTTGTGGAACTCCTAACAGTGGGAGCAGGGGCTGTCTCTGACTCTTTTGCTGGATTTTGGTTGCCTTGTCTAGCCTTAGTACAAGATGAGGTACTTAGTCTTACTACAACCAAATGCCATGTTTTGTCTGTATCCATAGGAGGCCTGCCCTTTTCTGAATAGAAATGGAGGAGGAGCAGATGGGGGGGTATCTCAGAGGGGAGGCAGGGGGGAGGGACTGGGAGGAGAAGGGGAAAATCAATAATCGATGTCATTGCCAGGGTCCTGTCTTTTAAACCTTTTCTGTTTGCTTTTTCTTTACTTTTTTTTTTTTTAATCTGTCTAGGGTTTGTATTGTTGTTTTGTTCTTTTGTGGTTGTTATAATTTTAGGCAATAAGATAAATTACTCCATTTTATTCCAATTTAACAACACTCATTTACTTTATTCCCCAAGGTCAATTGGAGTTCAGTTGATTCAATATGTGCTCATTTACTGATAACTCCATTGTTCCGACTCACGTAATTTCTCTTGAGTCATCTGTGTTTTGTTTAGCTGGAAATAAGCCCGAGACTTGAAAAAGAAGCCAGCACCAGCCACCATGCCCCTTTGAGATAAAATGTTTTTCATTTTAAAGAAGTCATAAGCATCACGTTGACATTTTCCTAGATGTTAATCTAGAGTCCTAGAGAGAGAGAAAATGTGAATATTTAGAAGTGGCTCTGAAAATGGTCATCCTTTCTTTTTCATTTGACAATAAGAAGACAATGTGTTTGAAAATATGCAAGAATCCCAGGAAGTCCTCATGCCCAACCACCTTGACGAAGTCATTGCTGCAGTCAGTGTCACTTCTAAAAAGAGGATCCCAAACAAGCTGCTTCAGACAGCCCTGTTCCAGCCCCCTCGAGAGAAACTCCACCTGTGTGAAGAGAGAGCAAAATCCTACTCGAGCAGCTGTGAGGTAAGGAGCCTTGAGGTCATATACCTGCTGTCTGAGAGCTGTGCCCTCATCACAAGCATGAGAAGCAAAGTGGATGGTCTACATCTCTAACCTCAGGTCAAGGTAGACAGACTACATCCCTAACCTCAGGCCAAGGTAGATGGACCACATTTCTAACCTCAGGCTTAGGTAGATGGATTACATCCCTAATCTCAGGCCAAGGTACCTCAGGCCAAGGTAGATGGGCTACATCCCTAACCTCAGGCCAAGGTAGATGGATCACATCTGTAACCTTAGGCCAAGGTAGATGGGCTACATCCCTAACCTCAAGCCTGAGATTAAAGAGATTCAAGAGAGCCTGTGTAGGGCCCTCCTACTCCTACCCCAGTGGTTGGTTGGCATGCCAACAGCAAATGTTTATTGAGTATAATGACTGGTTTTCATTGTCAACATGACTGGATTCAGAATCATTAGGAGATCAGTGAGCCAGACCTGTGAGTGTGTCTGTGAAGGTGTTTCCAGAAAAGAATAACTGAAGGTTAAAGGCCAACGTTGACTGAGTACCTATGGTACATCCCCATGGGCTTAGGCTCTAGTGAAATGAATGAGGAGAAAGGAAGAATGTTTATGAGGGCCAGCATTTTGCTTTGCTTCCTGCCTGCTGTGATGTAGTTGCCCCTCCTGCCACACTCTCCTTGTCATGATAGACTTGAGCCCTCAGAAACCCTGAGTTAAAGCAAACTCTTCCCGAGTTGTTTCTATTGGGCATTTTGACCACAGTAACAGGAAATTAAAGAATACATTGAGTTTTAGCACAGGTCAGACCTATGGTGGCTTACAGCACAGACTGAATGAAACTTCTGCTTATGTGCAGCCCATTGGAAAACTCTTACTTTTCTTGTTCCTTTCGTCTTCCTTCCCATGCCCCCTCACAAAGGTTACCCGGTCACTCGCTCATTCTCATATGCCAGACCCTATTTGTCCAGTCATATATTTCACAAATACTTCTTCTATGCCTAATGTTTTCCTAGTGTTGTGAAAGTGCCAGAAGCACATAGTGGAAGATCACAGCCCTAGAGGGATTTTTGTATGGTTGGACTGAGATGATAGAAGGACAGTCGCTGTGATGAGTTCTGCAGCAGGTTCATATGGTATCCATACAAATCAGAAAATGGCGGAAGCACAACAAATACAGTGAGGTTCCTGGGATGGGAGTTGATGAAAGTGCACTAGAAGCAGTGCTTAGGAGTCTTCCTGATGAGGAAGAGACAGAAGCCTTAGGGACAAAAATGGTGGATGGAAAAGTGCCAAAGACCTGAGGAGCACAGTCTCTTTGAGGAACTACAAGGGCCACTGGAACAAAGGCTTTGGTGACATGGTGAGAAATAAGCTGCACAACGGATAGAATCCAGGATCTGAAATGCACCCACTGTTCCAACAAAGGGTTCTAATGTCCCCTTGAAACACTGGAGGGACTTCTCAGGACTGTCAGGAGGAAAAGGCCACAGGCAGAGGAAGATCCACTCCATAGCTGTTCATTGGCTGGGTGAGAAATAAATGTCACTAGAAGAGGGGGCTAGGCTAGAGGGAATAGTTGCAACAGTCTTGAAAAGGAAGTACGAAGAATTGGAGGTAAGGCAGAAAAGCTGAGCTCCTCTGAAAGAAATGTGAAAACGTAAATTGATGGGACTGACTTTAGAGGGAGCATAAGAGATAAGATCAATGAGAGAGGCAGAGGGACCGGTACATTCTGACCTAAGACGCCATCTGCCTGGGTGACTGGAGGCATACCTCTGCCCTTCTTGAGCGAATCAAACGAACCTGTGTTCATTCCCTACCTATTGTGTGTCAACACTGGTGTTGAGTAAGCTCCGGACCAGCTGCTCAGCCATGGCTTCACAGAAGAAATACTTCATGCACAAAGGCCCTCAGCATGTGTAAGTCACAAACTGCCTTCCTGTGTCTAGGATGGCACAAGCATTTCTTGATTCCGTGGTTCCAGTAAAGATACCTAGGATATGACAGTGAGCAGGATGGAGCTAAGGGGCAGGCTTGAGTGTGCCATGTCTGACTTGAAGAGAAGATGCCACGGGCTGAGATGGCACATGGTTAGAGAAGCAATCAGTCCAGTTAGGACCTTGCATATTACAAGCTGAATGCCCTACAAGATCTTAATCTTCCACCATGGTCTACTTGGTGTAACTTATTCTAAAAAAACAACCATTTCTATGTAACTGTTCAATTTAAAATACATTCAGACAGAAAAGTTCTGACTCAGGCTAGAGAGATAGCTCAGAGGTTAAGAGCATTGGCTGTTCTTCCAGAGGTCCTGAGTTCAATTCCCAGCACCCACATAATGGCTCACAACCATCTGTAATGAGATCTGGTGCCCTCTTCTGGCCTGCAGGTGTATGTGCAGGCAGAACACTGCATAATTAATAAATAAAATTTTTAAAAAGTTATGGCTCAACAGTTGTCAGCATTTATTTTAATCATTTATTCATCTGTTTATTGTGCCACTGAGCTGCATCCCAGTGTGTTCATTCTGGCTCACTCTCTTTCCCCTTACTGTCATTATTTCAGCTAAGAACAGGTTATAGATACTATAGATAGTATGTGAACATATTATATATAATATATAGAACTATATGCTACATATAAAATATAATAATTTCTCTTTAAGAATGAGAATATTCTCCCATATAACCACAGCACAGTGATTGAAATTAGGAAACTAATACTTATGTAATAGTGTCACATGATTTGCAAAAACAAACAAACAAAAACAGATTCATGACTAGATAGGAGTCCACACTGAGTATAGATGCAGTATCTCTTCAGTCTCCTTCAGTCTGCTGCAGGTTCCCAGCCTGAAGCAATTACTTATATTGTTCTATTATTAAATAAAACTCGGGAGCCAGATATTGGGGTGAAAACCCAATTGATCAGAGAAGTGGTGGAGAGGCGACCAGTGACCTCCTCTCTCTTTCCTGCATCCAAAAGGAGCCACAAATCTTTCTAAGCTCCTCCTCACTACTTCCTGTGTCGCTCTGTATGTTCTGGGTTCTCCAAAAACTTTATGGCTAATTCTGGTCAGATAGTAGCTAGCTCTGCCCTCTGATTCAAAGTAAACTTTATTGGCAGTCTTGGGAGTGTCAGAGTGTGATCAAAATATCCCACAACATCAGCCTTGTCTTTGTCTTTCCTGCTCTTGGTATTTTGAGTCTTCGTTTCTGTGGCAAAAGCAACTCAAAGAGAAGACATTTGTTTGGGTCACAGTTGGGGGGTGCATACCACCACTGCAGTAGGAGCATTGAGTGGTTGATCATGTCACATCCAGTCAGGAAGAAAAGAGAAATGAGAGATGGATGCCGGTGCTCAGCTTGCCTTACGTTTTTTATTCAATCTAGAATCTCACCCAGCCATGAGGTGGTGATGTCCAGGTTCAGAGTTAAAACTCTCTGAAAACACCTTCCATAAGACCCAGAGCTGTGTCTCTTGGGTGATTCCAGATCTGTCAAAGTGACAGTATTAGTCATCACAGATGCCAAGGAGAGTGAACCACTACCACTTTCACCTGGACCTATAGGAGCTGTTCACTGAATGCTAGCCTGAACACCTAGGAGGCGATCAAATGTCTGTTGTACTTGCCTAGTTTTAATTCATCATGCCGTATTTTCCACCAGGAAATTGTATGTACTTCCCGAAATGAGTGTACTTCATCCAACCAGATGAACCCTTTACTACCCCAGACAGATAATTTTTGATTCTCTGGCCTGTGCTCAGCACATAGAAAGCACTCAGTAAATATTTATTAGGTAGATATAATTACAAGTAGGCCATGCGACTCTCAGGTTCTAAGGTGTCTACCTGGTAAACTCATTTTCTTCTTCTGACAGTACAAACAGGCCATCCAGGAGCTTGTGCGCTGTGTGGCATTGACAAGAATTTGCTATGGCGACTCACATTGGAAACTAGCAGAGGCATATGTTAATCTGGCTCAAGGCTACCTCCAGCTGAAAGGTGAGCTTCTCTCCCACCAGCAGGGATCAGCTCATCAGCTGATGGCCTTCTATTCTCCCTCCCTGTCCCTGAACTGATCCATACCAGAGGGATCATGTTTTCCTGGTTCTCCTTTCCAAGTACTAAGAATCGATTTCCTTTTAGGAATGAAAGACCCCCAGACCCCTGAGGGCCTCAGGATCCCAAGGAGCCCCCCAGACTCAGAAACCAGACCAAGAGCTGCAAATGCAAGAGGGTTTATTGAACGAATGCGCATTCGGGTGTCAGCAATACCGGGAAAGCTGCACATCCCAGCATGGGGTACAAGCTCCTTATATAGGAAAAAAACCACAGATCAGCATACAGGCAAGGGGCACAAAGTGATTGATTGCAAAGTATGATCTCATGTTAGAGTGGTCACCCAGGTGTGACCTGCTTTTTTACAAAGGAAAAACCATAGAACGTACCCTGGAAGGTCCTTGATTGTCTGTTGGCCAGCCAGGTGTGACCCAAAGAGGGTTGTCTTGGCGATTGCCCCCGTCTAAACCATAGGATGTGCCCGGGGTTGGGGCCAGCTTCCTTGTAACGGGCCAAGGCCTGTGAGAAACTTTTTCTCTCTGTGAACTAAAATCTTTTAAGACTTTTTCTCTCAGCAAACTAAAATCTTTCAGAAAGAATCAGTAAGGTGTATAGCATGTAGGTATGAACAGGAAGAAAGGAAGATTGTGATGTGGGTTTTCTTGTTTGTTTTTTGTCATCTTAAAATTATAGTTCTTGGAAGATAATCTGTTGGATCCAATGGTGGCAGGAAAGAAGCCAAGCCATGGAATGGCGGCTTTGAGTGGACCCAGTCATAGTTTTCCAGAGAGGTGGGAGGCAGAGTGCTGAGAGAGAGAGAGAGAGACAGAGAGAGAGACAGAGAGAGAGACAGAGAGAGAGACAGAGACAGAGACTCTTGAGTATAAGTTGTCAAAACATGAAAGGCTAAACCAAGCTGGCATTAGCTTATACAACTTAAAAAGCTAAGGTGAAACTACTAGCTACTTTAGGTTTCCTTGCTAAGCATGATCAAAAGAAAAGGAGACTCTCCCACCCACCAAAATATCCTGGGGTTTGGAGACACCCCATTCAGACTATACTGGAGCATTACTGAAATGAAGGCATCGTCTGATAAGGTCAGACCTGGTTTGGGTTCTCCTGGTACGGGGAAAGAAGCTGGTTTTGGCCAGCTTAGGATGTGCAGGGGTCAAGCATCATAAGAGGAAAACAGACGGTGGAGATGGGTTCGGAAAGGTAAAAAAGCAGACACTCACCATGTGGTGTTTTCTACTTGCTGGCTATGCTAATTCACACAAGGTATACCGCAGCACACTCTCACCCCCCCCCACTCCCCGCCCCCACACGCATGCAGTTCATCTGCTGAAGAGCAGTGATGGAATGTTGGCAACACAAACTTCCCAGGTCTAGTGAGTGGCCCTACAACTAGAAAGTATTGCAAGGTCAGATCATTCTTACCTGTTAGTCAAAGGCCATCAGAGCCAGAGGAGGCATTGGAGATCATCTCAGTAACACCTCCTCAGGGTTTTCTAGAGTTAGAGAAAATGAATCTGAGTGGGAACAGCTTGCTGCAAAATCACATTGTTTATAAGCGGCTGATTTGAGACTCGGACCTGGGAATCGCATGCCAGCACCAGTGTCCTGCCATCTGGCATTTCAAATCCTGCCTTCCTGCTGCAGCCCACTCCCTGCTGCATGGGTCTTTCTCTCTCAATTTAAAGTCAAAACAGTATTCACTATTCTGCAAGGTCTCGGGCTTCACTCGTGTGTGTGTGTGTGTGTGTGTGTGTGTGTGTGTGTGTGTGTGTGTGTGTTAGGATACTCTTGTTACTTCCCTTCACCATCAAGGTAGCTGAGACCAGTTTCATAGTGAGTGATAGAGTAGAGGATTCATTCTGGGCAGTCTCAAGAGCCCATGCTCTTGAAACTGAACCTGTGCTGTCTCCAGTAGATTAAGTTCAAGTTCTTTTTTATTTTGTTTTTGTTTTTTGAGACAGGGTTTCTCTGTGTAGCCCTGACTGTCCTGGAACTCACTCTGTAGACCAGGCTAGTCTCAAACTCACAGAGATCCGTCTGTCTCTGCCTCCCAAGTGCTGGGATTTAAGGTGTGCGCCACCATCGCTTGGCTAAATTCAGGTTCTAAGGGAAAGGGTTCTACTTGTAATCACAGCCCATCACTATAGGTGTGACATGTAGACAAATAACAGTGATAAATTCCCGACAGCCAAGTTAAAGCTACGCCTTTAAAATATGACACACAGAGTTCTGCCAAGAGTTCCCACATGAAGAACATAGGCTTGCTTCTCTCCATTAGAACGCATATTGTTTCTGTTTCATAGACACGGGAATGGAATTAACTTCATATTTTGACAGCTTTTGCAAAGAGCTGAGATACAATTAAGTGTAATCCAGAACACGGAGCTGGAGATGTATGGATATGAGTGGAAGGGGGTGTTGGTGTGAGGGTGGAAGGTGGGAGTGTGTGGGGAGGGTACAAAGCACAGACTCCCTAGCTGGTATTCCTTAATCTCACCCCTCCTGCAGGCTAATCAGCCTCTTGAAGAACTCTGGAGCACATGGGGAAATCAGTAATAACATTTGTTAGTCTGTCTCATGTTCATCTGTGGCTGTACAGGAATAAGTGATGACAGCACAGTAGGCCCTTACCTCCTGGGGGTTGCATTTGTAAGGATTTGTAGCCACTATGTTTGTGTCATGCTAAAAGGACTCCTTAATATTATGGCTACAAACGGGTGAGCAGAAGACTCAGAATTTTTAGTATTTCATTTAGATGACTGTCACTCAGACAGGCTCACAATTCCTGAATAGCTTGCTTCCTTCCCAGAATGCTGCGGTCCTTGCATTCCATTTGTGTTTTGATAATTATTTATATTGTACATCTGATACTGATGATGTTTCAAAGCTGTTCAGTTCCAGCTCGCTGTGCTTATTTTATTTCTTAAAAGGCCACTTTGGGAAATGTTTTTCATCTTGAATACTTGACATAAAAACAACTTTTTTGGTTGTTACAGTCAAGGGACTAGTTCCTGCCTCCCAGATGGATGTCTTGTGTGCTACTGGACAGCATGCAGTGACCTTGCCAGGTTTCCTGGCTGTGGAGAGTCATGTTCCTGACCAGCTGAGATTAAAGAGAAATTGACACTTCTGCTTCTCTGTCCACAGGGCTGTCACTACAAGCAAAGCAACATGCAGAAAAAGCCAAAGAAATCCTGGCCAACTCCATTGAGAACCCCTATCATGACAATACAGATATCTTCAAGTGTTCCATAGATCTCTTCTGTACCCTGGGGAAAGCCCTGCTGTCCCTTCAAAAGTATCCTTTTGCTTCTAATCTTCACAAACACAAAGCATCGTTGCTGTGATTCTGGTAGTTAGATCTCAAAGTCAAACAAAAAGCTGCTAGTTGATTCAGGGATAACAGGAAATAATATATGAGCAAAGAAAGTCCAGGATGTGGGGTTCCAGAATCTAGGAACCAGTGGGACTTTTCCTGAACATATTCCAGATTTAAAGAAGCCTCAGAGAACTTGGTGAAAGCGGAAAGACTTTCCAAGGAGATGCTGCAATGTGGGAACATTATAAAGGAGGAATGGGTAGAAATCCAAGCTCGGATCAAGCTGTTCTTTGCACAGTAAGTTTCCAGTTTAGAACTTGTATGCATGATGACTGAAGACTCTTAGGCTCTGTCCATGACTTCGCCCAAGGTCATTGTCCAATAAAGAGCAACACTGTCATGACAGAGCAGCCCAATGAAGACAAACACCAGCAACACTTGTTATTTGATGTGGAATGCACTCATCCCACATATACACACACGCCCAATGGTCACACAGATCCTCTCATGGTTTCCCGAACTTACTTCCTGCCTGCTCTGCCCATCCCTGCTGCCCCTTCATCTCCCTCTGGGATGGGATTCCTAGGTTACAGGATAGCAACACACTGCAAGTTCACTAGGCACTGACCCCTTGCTATGCCCAGCTACATGGCATCTTGCAGGATGGATGGGGTCCTATCTTGCTACAGTCTCAACAATATTTGGCACTGTGACTCTTTCTAACTTGCTGTCCTGAAGTATGTTAGGACATGCTACCCAATGATTTTTACATTTCCTTTACTTTCTTTATTGAATTAATGAGTTTGAATACCTCTGTGTGCCTGTGAGCCATTTGGGATTTTCCTTCCACAAATAGCCCGTGAAGGCCTATCTTATCTTTCTTTTGGAATTCTCTGTGCTTTTCACACTAATAATCGAGATTTTTCTCATTTGCTATCCATGTGAATTATGTTGACTATATTTTCTTATATCTATTGCCCTTTGTTTTGTCTATGGTGTTCTTCATAATATAGAAATTCTTCATTCTACCACAGGCATATTCATCCCTTTTCCCCCTTTTTTAATTTATGCCTTTGGGTTTTGTTTAGAAAGTATTTCCCATCCAAATATCAAAGTCTCCATAACTTCCCTCTACCTCAAGTTTTTTAAATGTTCTTTATTTTTTTAACATACCAATCCCAAGTCTCCCTCCTTTCACCTCCCCAACTTCCCCCCATGTTATCCCCTATCTTCTCTTCAGAGGGGGTAGGGCCTCCCATGGGGAGTCAAGAAGTCTGTCCCATCACTATCTTGAGGCAGAACCAAGGTCCGCCCCCCGTGTCTAGGCTGAGCAAGGTATCTCTTCATAGGAAATGGGCTCCAAAAAGCCAGTTCATGCACTAGGGATAGATCCTGGTCCCACTGCCAGTGTCCCCACACACTGCCCAAGCCACACAACTGTCACCCACATTTGGAGGGTCTAGTTCAGTCCTATGCAGGTTCCCCAGCTGTCAGTCCAGAGTCAGTCAGCTCCTGCTAGCTCAGGTTATCTGTTTTTGTGGGTTTCCCCATCATGGTCTTGACCCCTTTGCTCATATTACCAATCCTCCCTCTTTTCGACTGGACTCCAGGAGCTCGGCCCAGTGCTTAGCTGTGGATCTCTGCATCTGCTTCCATCAGTTGCTGGATGAAGATTCATATTTGTCTTTCTGGGTCTGGATTACCTCACTCAGGATAGTTTTTTTCTAGTTCTGTCCATTTGTCTGCAAATTTCAAGATGTCATTGTTTTTGTTTTTGTTTATTTTTACCACTGAGTAATACTCCATTGTGTAAATGTGCCACATTTTCTTTATCCATTCTTCAGATGAGGGGCATCTAGGTTGCTTCCAGGTTCTAGCTATTACAAATAATACTGCTGTGAACATGGATGAGCAAGTGTCCTTGTGGTATGATTGAGCATCCTTTGGGTATATGCCCAAGAGTGGTATTTTTGGGTCTTGAGGTAGATCAATTCCCAATTTTCTGAGAAACCACTATATTGGTTTCCAATGTGGCTGTACAAGTTGGCACTCCCTCCAGCAGAGGAGGAGTGATCTCCTTTCTCCACATCCTCTCCAGCATAAACTGTCATCAGTGCTTTTGATTTTAGACATTCTGACAGGAGTAAGATGGTATCTCAGAGTTGTTTTGATTTGCATTTCCCTGATGACTAAGGATGTTGAGCAGTTCCTTAAGAGTCTTTTGGCCATTTGGGATTCCTCTGTTGAGAATTCTTTGTTTATATCTGTACCTCATTTTGTAATTGGATTATTTGGTCTTTTGAAGTCTAGTTTCTTGAGTTCTTTGTATAGTTCAGAGATCATCCCTCTGTCAGATGTGGGGTTGGCAAAGATCTTTTCCCACTCTGTGGGCTGCCATTTTATCTTGTTGACCATGTTTTTTTTTTTTTGTTTGTTTTGTTTTTTTGCCTTACAGAAGTCCTATTTATTGTTTCTCTCAGTGTCTGTGCTACTGTATTATATGTAGAATGTGGTCTCCTGTGCCCATGCATTCAAGGTTGCTTCCCATTTTTCTCTTCTATGAGGTTCAGTGTGGTTGTTTATTTTGTTGTTGTTGTTGTTGATCTATTTGAACTTGAGTTTTGTGCATGACGATCTATTTGCATTCTTCTGAATGTCAGCATCCAGTTATGCCAGCACCATTTGTTGAAGATGCTTTCTTTTTTCCATTGTATAATTTTAGCTTTGTCAAAAATCAGGCTTTCATAGGTGTGTGGATTAACATCAGGGTCCATGATTCTATTCCATTCGTCCACCTGTTTGTTTTTGTGCCAATACCAAGCTGTTTTCATTATTGTAGCTTTATAGTAGACCTTGAAGTCAGGGATGGTGATGCCTCCTAAAGTTTCTTTATTGTACTGGATTGTTTTTGGCTATCCTGGATTTTTTGTTTTTCCATATTGTTTGTTGTTAGGGTTTTTGTTTGTTTGCTTGCTTGTTTTTTCTAGACAGGGTTTCTCTGTGAAACAGTCCTGGCTATCCTGGAACTCACAGAGCTTCACCTGCTCTGCCTCCTAAGTTCTGGGATTAAAGGTGTGGGCCACTATGGCCCAGCTACCTCATACGTTTTATGATAAAAATATGTATGTATATGTGTGGGTCTGTGCATGAGTGCAGTGCCTGAGGCCAGAAGGGGATGTAAGATCCCTGGCCCCGGAGTCAAGATGATGGTGATCCATCTGATGTGGGTACTGGGAACCAAACTGGGGTCCCCTGAAGGAGCAGTACCTGTCATTAAACTACAAAGCAGCTCATGTTTTGACGATGGTGTTATCATCACTCATCACATTCTTAGGATTTCATATCTCAGTTAGAAACTTCACTTTGGCTAATCGGAGCTGATTCCAATGAGGGTTTTAGTCTGCAGATGTATGTGATTTCCCAAGCTGTCCCAGTGTGTACTCATTTCTAGCTGTGGCATCATGGGTGGCAGCGTGTCTGCCCAGAAGTGCCTCTGTAGACCAGGCTGGCCTTGAACACAGAGATTCCCCTGCCTCTGCCTTCTGAGTGATGGGATAAAAGGCGTGAGCCACCTTACCCAGCGCATCTTGAATTTTTTTTTCAAATTGGTATATTAGTGTTTAGATGGATGCATTTAAAACCCCAAGAGTAATCAGCGATCCTGTGGCTTGCCATTGTTATATATTCTGATGTGGTTTTGCTGAAGGGGAGGTGAGCCAGCCCACAGCAGCATGTCTCTTTCATCTTCTGTTCTTTTGATCACAGAATGTGTCTATTTTGTCTCTGTTCTAGTTTTGTTTGTGTTGCTGTGATGAAGTTCCCCTGACCAAAGGCAACAAGGAGTGGGGGCGGAGCTTATTTATTTGGCTTACAATTCATTACAGGTTATAGTCTGTTATTGTGGAAGTTACAGCAAGAACTCAAAACATCACTCCCACGGTCAAGAGCAGCGAGATGGAGGTGTACCAGGTGTCTAGAACACACTGTTCAGTTTCATCAGTCATCAGGGAAGTGGGAGACAAAAAATGAAGATAATGCCAGGGTCCCACTAAAAGGCCTAGCACTTTACAAAAAGATGGATAGTGCAAAGTGTTGGCAAGGGACGTGGTACACAGAAGTGCCCTCTCCCTTATAGCTGCTTGTGTGAATCGGATAGGACTCTTAAGAAAGTGTCTGGCATTATCTCATGAATCTGAACATCTTCACACTCTTTGACCCAACAGTATCACCCGTAATATATACTCATCAGAAATCTTTGCATACTTGTTCACCAAAACACACACCCAAGTATCTTCCCAGACTCATCATTCAGTAGCCGAGAACTGTGAACAGTCCAAATGTCCTCAAACAGAAGCTAAAGATCTATGACCTATTCATATAAAAAGGCAATTGTCAAGCTCCTTGTTACATAACGTCATGAATGGCTCTCACAAACACAGTATTGGGTGAAAGAAGACAGTCCCCAAATGTTCAAACTGGCTCCATTCATAGAACTAAAGGGGAAAGACCATTTGTTGGTGACCAGGGGGCTAACCCACACAGAATCTTTTCTTGCTGGGAATGAGAAGCTTTTTTATCCCATTGTGCAGGAGGCATCCAAGTGCGAGGCCCCAGATCTGATATGGGTTGCATCTGTTGAGACCTGACTAATGCGTCAGTTCTTGGTGTTGAGCTCTGTTGCTACAAAACACTCTCATATCCTCTGCCAGAATCTGGCGCCACCTTACGAGTGCTTGCCAAATTGCAATACCGAACACGGACAGCAGGTGGCGAGCTTTGTCCACATCTGTGTCGAATAAGTAGCCTTTAAGACTTTAAAGACCCAGTTAAACTCTTTGGAGATAACCTGTGGTTATAATAGAGTTGTTTCCAATGTGCCAGGCCCTGCCTTTCTGGTTTTTCACTCTGACATTTTCCATGCAACTTGTGTGTTTAAAATGAGCAATTTTCATTTAATCTCTTTGCTTTGTATTCTCATGGAAATAGGAATATTTTATCCAAACCCACTTGCTTTGGAAAGAAACAGGGCTTTGGTTTTAGACGCGACTATAGTTACACATGAACTATGTGGCATCTTTTCTCATGAGTCTTGGGAATGGAAGGCCAGGGGAAGGTCTCAGGCAGCCTCTGGATATCTGCCCCTATTAAAAGGGCATCTTTTACTGTGTCCTCTCCTTCTGCTTCTCCTTTTATGGTGCCTACCAGACTGGCCTGACACAGATAAGTGACTCATGCTCAGGCTTCCACCCCTGCGGGAGGCCTGGGGCTTCTTCCCTCCATGCCCCCTCCCTCCTCTG